GTGCCTGGCCAGGGACCCCATCCTCACCAAGGGCTGGCCAGGGGCGGGCCGGGCATCGCTGTGGCCAGCTGGATGCTGCAGGTCAGATGGTGCCAGTGAGGTTTTTCCCTGCTTTAATGGCAGACTCGTGTTACCTCCTGTTTGTCCCACCCTGACAGAGGGCAGCTGCACATTGTGGCCTGGTAAAGGCCATGTGAAGAGTCCTGGGTCTTCAGTCGCTTTTTGAGTGTTCTTCTGCAGCCCAAAGGGAGCCAGCCGAGGAGATGGAGGGGAGCAGAAGGTGATGCTGCTGGCTGCACTGGTGGGCTGCCCCTGGGCCAGCTCCTGTACATCTCCAGCAGCAAAGGTCATAGCTAAGCATGGGCACCAAGCCTGTCCCTCACTCTCCTGACATTTGGCACTGCAGGCACACCGACCAGTTGGGTGGATCAGCTCTAGCATGGGGAAGCAGCATGCGGGGTTGGCCAGCAGTCGGGATGGAGGAGGGCCTGGGAGCACCAGCCTGCTCCGTGCCCGGTGTGTAGGAGCTGTGTGTTTTCCCTCCCAGGGGCAGCCATGGGCAAGCACAGCAGCAAGCTGGCCCCGGAGATGCTGGATGATCTGGTAAGGAGCACGGAGTTCAGCGAGCAGGAGCTGAAGCAGTGGTACAAGGGCTTCCTCAAGGACTGTCCCACTGGCATTCTCAACCTGGAGGAGTTCCAGCAGCTCTACATCAAGGTGGGCTTCAGCCGGGGGCCCAAATGTTGCCTGCAGGCCTGGAGCACCCTGCTCCTGTTGGGGCAAGGATGCTGCTTTGGGTGCAGTCTCCACACTGAGCTCCCCCTCCCCATTTCGATCTCTCTCTTCTTTCTTCCCTGCAGTTCTTCCCTTACGGAGACGCCTCCAAGTTTGCCCAGCATGCTTTCCGCACCTTCGACAAGAACGGTGATGGGACTATCGACTTCAGGGAGTTCATCTGTGCCCTGTCTGTCACCTCCAGGGGCACCTTTGAGCAGAAACTCAACTGGGCCTTTGAGATGTACGACCTGGACGGGGACGGAAAGATCACACGCTTGGAAATGCTGGAGATCATTGAGGTACCAGTGCTTAACATCAGCAAGAGCAGTTTGCTTTTTCTAGGCTTTTCACAGCTTATTGGGTCACTTTTGGCACCAAAGAATGAGTTTTCCCAGAGCCTTTTCTGAAAGGTACCTGGTGTGCTCCTAATTGTAGCTGTGCAGCAGCATAGCTCGTGCCAGCAGGTAACCGGGTCCCAGCAGAGGAGCAATCCTGTCCCCTGCCTTGTCCTAGGATCT